ATATTCAAAATAATGAAAGCAAAAATCTTCTAACCAAGATAATAATGACAAGATTATCATTTAGAACAGTAGGAGAGAGTTTTCCAGACCAGCAAAAACAAACGTTGCTCACCACTACTAAAGTGGCCTTACAAGAATGTTAAAGGGACTTCTTTAAGTTGAAAAGAAAGGGCACTGATTAGTAATTAACAAGAAAACATATAAAAGTAAACGTCTCACTGGGAAAGGTAAATACATAGCAATGGCAGTGGACTAATCATTTATAAAGGTGGCGTGAAGGCTGAAAAGTAGTAAAAACATAATGACAGTAATAAATTTAGGGATAAACACATAAAAAGTTGTTAAATGTGACATCAAAAAAATAAAATGCTGGTGTCAGGGGGAGAGTAAAATGTAGAATTTTAGAATGTGTTCAGACTTAACTTGCCATCAACTTAAAATATACTGGTGTATATATATGTCCATATAGGCTGATATATATAATCTTTGTAACAACAGAGCAAAAATCTACAGTAGATATGCAAAAGATAATGAGAATGGAAATGTAAGCATAACACTAAAGAGAGGCATCAAACCGCAAGGGAAGAATGAGAGAAGAAGAAAGGAACAAAGAAATTACAAAACAGCTAGAAAACAAGGAACAAAATGGTGATATGTACGTACCTCTCAACAATTACTTAATACATAAATGGATTAAATTCTCCAAACAGAAGTCAGAGAATGGGTGAATGGGTAGAACAACAAGACCCATTTACATGCTGCCTGCGAGAGACCCCCTCAGACGTAAGGGCGCACACAGGCTGAGGGCGAAGGGCTGGGAAAAGACCCCTGCAAATGAAAGAACAGCCGGGGTGGATGCAAACCAAGCTGGAGTAGCTACACATACACGGGACAGAACACACTTTAAAACAAACACTGTGATAGAAGACAAAGACGGGCATTACGTGATGATCAAGAGGTGGGTCCAGCCAGATAGAGCAACCGCTGCATTTCCATTTGCCAATAACAAACTTTCAGAAAGAGGAATTAAGAAAACAATCCCATTTACAATTGCTTCAAAAAGAATGAAATACCTTGGAGATTAATACAATTAATCAAGGAGGTAGACAACTTTTATGTTGAAAACTATGAAACGTTAATGAGAGATTGAAGAAGATACAACAAGTAAGTGGAAATAGATTCATGCCAATGACAGTTTTCAAAGAAATAATCCTAAAATATGCATGGAACCATACACATAAAACCCTGAATAGTCAAAGAAATCTTGAGTAAGAAGAACAAAGCTGGAGGGCATCCTGCTCCCTAATTTCAAACTATATTGCAAACTGTAGTAATTAAAACAGTATGGTATTGGCATAAACAAACTTAAGTGTCCATTAATGGATGAATGGATAAATAATTTTGGAATATATATATAAGCCTTAAAAAAAGAATTAATTCTTGCCATTTGTGACAGTGTAGCTGGACCTTGAGGTCATTATGCTCAGTGAAATAAATCTGACAGAAAAGAGAAATACTGTATGATTTCTCTATGTGGAGTCTAAAAAAACCCCCAATAAACAAGTTAGTAGATGTAGAGAACAGATCGGTGGTTGCCCAAAGTGGGGGGTAGGATTTGGGAGAAATGGATGAAGGGTCAAAAGTTAAAAACAAAAAAAAGAATCATGTGAAAAGGACCAAAGTATAAAAAAGGGAGAATGCCCTCATTACATCCCTTTTACTTATCCTACCTCAGCCTGCTTCCCAGGACTAACTACATTGTTAAAATTTTACTATGCATTTAAGGGTGTATACATGCATACATGTATGTGTGATATAAACATGACATGGGAAATATACATATACAAATTATGATTTTCAGCTTATCTCTCAGTATTGTTGTCATAGTGGGAACAGTAGTCTCCTTCAGCCTTCTACCTTCTAATCAGAAGTGGAATTATATTAGTTTACTTGAAAACAGAAAAAAAAACTTAAATATTTAATGATGGAAACACATCTTAATGACAGAAACAATAAATGCATTTTATTTATCAAATTTTGTACCAGATATCAGAATTCATTTCTTAGATACGAAAAAATGGCAAGTGGGGATAATAAAAATATGTAATGTTTGTGTCTCAGGGTATGGCAAAACTCATATTGTTTAGATTCAAACATCGGTAGAAATTCAAGGAGAGAGTGAGTCTGCTGTTCTTTTGAAAAATTTGGTCATTGTTCTTACCTCTTGTTATATAGCCTCTCCTTTTCAATTTCTTTTTCAGTCCATGCATCTGGAGTATTTCCATGATAAATGACTTCATTCCATGAAGGCACTTCCCTATTGTCAGTTATGATGCACGCCCTCAACACAAGACATGCTCAACCTGGTGGATTGTTCCATCAGCAGGCATCAGGCATCTTAGTCAATCTTTCTTCTGTTAAAAAAAAAATAGTAATATTGAAAACAAAATGGACGATTATTTTGAAAGTCTCTTTAGAATTTATAGTTTGGGTGTGTCTGCTATGTTGACTCCTTGAGAAGTTATCTTCAACTCTGTTGTCTTAAAACTTTGTGTCCCTTTTCTTCTTATTTAAAAGTGGTGAATATTGATTAAATATTTTGTAAAGGAGTCTGTTCTCTTTGCTGCTGTATGGTCTTTGCAAAGTAGTCACAAAGTTTCTCAAAGATTACCCATTTGAGGACATGTATTTTCCTAAATCTGTGTGGTAAAGAACACAGAGTTGAAAGTCTCTTTGTGTAGGTTGGCCTATATTTTGCAACAAGTAACTTCAGGATATTTTTTACTCTAAATGCTTAACTGTATCATTATGGACCATTCTGAAAACCTAATGTCTGTTTTAAAAAGTGATTTAAAATTGACTTTTAAAATTGTATCATGAGGATCACAAGAGGTTGGCGGTCATTAGATTCTTGTCATGGTGTCCCTCCAACGGCGTTATTTCTCCAGGTCCTCAGACTGAGCTTGGTTTTCATGGCCAAGGGATTCAGGAGGTGGTGACTACTGAGATTTAAGGCAGGCGGATTCTCTGAAGCCTTCAGCCTGACTCCCCAGGGAGTGGTATTGCCACTTCATTAATTAGTTTGTGGAGCATCCCTTTGGGCTGGTTTAGCAGGGTTATCCCTATTTTTACAGATCAAGAAAATGAGGTGTGCAGTGTTGAATTGGTTTATGTACAAAGTTTTGGCAATCAGCCCTAGAGTTTAGAATTCTAGACCTTTTAGTCGGTCACTCAGTTTGTAGACTTGGATGTTACTCTTTCAAATGTACATTTTCAGAGTAACAATTTCAGTTACATTGAATTTGTCTTTTGTAACAGAGTTGTATTTTCGAATCATGCAGGTTTTAATTTGAATTTGACTGAGCTGTGATAGTACCCTCCTAAGGAAGTGTCATGTGGAATTTGAAATTTGAGTTGAATTACATATACTTGATTTATCGGGTTCACACGAAGCATTGTGGGGCTTTTTTCTCTCTGATGTAGCTGTCTGTGACATAGGCACAGTCAGCCAGATGCTAAGGACGGGTGATGCTTTGGGGATGTGGGACCTGCACCCAGAGGCCTGGCCCAGCGTCCTGACTCACGCCCCTCCCGCAGGGCGCATGGGGCTCCGACCCCTCGGCCGCCTTCGGCTTTGGAATGATTTCCAAGAAGGATGTAGTCGAATATTTATTCAGTTGTCTCTCCCTCTACCTACCTATCTAATTTACACTCAGGAAATGGCTATTCTTTCTCATTTCCTAGGCTAATCTACTACCTGGTATCCAGATCAACTGGGTTTTCCAAGACGGTGCTGCTCCCAGTGCAGAGCCAAGGACCAGGCTGGCCAGATTGTGTCCGGCCTCTGCTTAGTGGTGGCCCTCCGCTCAGTGGTGGCCCTCCCCACATGACAGAGTTGGTCAGGAGTTAGGCTTACTGCTGTGCTGGGTCCACAGCGAAAGCTTGAGTTTAGCGTTGATCCTGTTTGTTTGTTTGGGTTCCATAGTCACAGGTGCACGCATGACGAATACTGCTCAGCCCCCGACCAGTCACCGATGAGAGCCGTTACTGGTACGCAGGGTCGAGGGGGGGGCGGGCAATGTCTCATCCTCCATCCCCCAAAATTAGATGTGTTGATTCGCAGCAGTATTTTCACATTTCAAATACTGTTTACTTTTAAAGGGCAAAGGAAATTGTGTGGGCTAATAAGAAAATTTACACAGTTTGAAAACACATTCTAATTTACTATTACATTTCCCATTATCTAAAGCCATAATGTCTCCAGATTAGTACCAAGCAACCAGTACTTCATCCCCGTAAAGGCTTTGGAAAAGCTCCTCTCATATCAGTTGATTTGGCTTATTTTTTGTGTGTGTTTGCAGTGTAAGTGGTTGTTGGAAATGCCAATTAGAAAAATGCATTTTAAATAAAAAGACTTCTTTTCCAAGAAGTTTTGTTTTATACAATTGTTTTACATTTTTAAAAATTCAGATACATTACTTGGATTATTTTTTCAGATTCTTTTATTTGTATATCTGATAACAGACTAATTTAGGTATTTTAGTTATGATGACCCAAGGAAATATATATTTAAGATTCATCTTCAGCTTGTTTTGGGGAAACGTTTGCCATGCTGAATGAGGAAAACAACTAATCAAAACAGGTGGTTTAATTTAATTCACGTAACACACACTCAGAATAGAGTTATCTAACTATTTAAAAAACTGTGTATTTATGAATTTCTATTTATCGACATGTATGGCCTAAAGAAAAATAGTATATTTTAAGCCAATTCAACAAGAGCTTTTGAAGTTATTTGTTTATATAATATATTTGCAATTACCTCTAATTCAACCGACCATCAAAGAAGGTCTTAAACAATCAAGGTCGGTAGGCAAGACATTTGACGAAATAGCTACAGAGTGTGAAGTATGTGCTCAGTGCATTGCCAGGTAATATCGAGAGTAACAGAAAGCTAATCATAGGGATATGCAATTAAAACCAAATAAGTGAACTCTATAATGTGTCAGACGACGGTAAGTGCTATGAAAAAAATAAGGCAGGGAGGGCAGGTGAGAGTCAGGGAAAACCTGGAAACCTAGTTTTTCCTTAAAAATTTATGAAAAGAAAACAAAAAATAAGCATAGTGATTTGCATTTCTTTGCTTTCACAGGTAAAGCCAGTAACCCACAGCAGGATCAATGTATCTGCTCGGTTTAGGAAACCACTTCAGGAGCCCTGCACCATCTTGTAAGTCGGAGCCTGTCACCTTTCGAGGTGCAGTTGGCACAGTGGTTTTGTTCGCATTTGGAATTTGTTCTGTAGTTTTAAAGGCATGACTGTTTCCAATGGCAGGCTCACTGGTGTTGTTTTTTTCTAGCTTGATTGCAAATGGAGACCTCATAAGCCCAGCTTCTCGCCTCCTTATCCCCAGAAAAGCTCTGAATCAGTGGGATAATATACTACAAATGGTCACAGAAAAAATAACTCTGAGGAGTGGGGCTGTCCACAGGTATGTCAGTCATCTGCTGTAAGTTGGTGGGCTTCAGAGCTGCTGAAGATAGTCACAGGGGCTCCAGGTCCACTGGTTCCCAGATTGGAGTTGTGGCTCGCCAGCTGGGCAGCACATGCCTCAGTTTCTTCATGTGTAAAGCGGGTGTATAATCGTACTCAGTATCGTAAAGCGTTGTTTTTTAAAGGAAGCGCATAAAGGAGGTAAAGCAGCCCTTGGCACATACTAGCACATGAGCAAATGCTGACTTTTTATTCTTCTGGTTTAGAGCATTAGACAACTATGGAAATTCTTCTGAAGGAGGATAACAGAACATTAAAAAGTCTATGGTTGGACCCTGTCTGTGCATCAGTATGTTTATGTATCAGTAGCATTTCAGTGTCTCAACTCCCTATTTATGTTTTGTGTGTTTTGTTGCAAAGGAAGAAATTAGGTTAACAGAGCAGGAAGCCGGTCAATAAAAAAAGACACTAAAATTATGGGCTGGAATTTATTCAGGACCCTTTTATCCACCTGCTGAAGAAACCGGTCAAGTCCTGGCTGTTTCCGGATCCACAACTATGCCTCCTTTTAATTTCTAGCTGTAAAAGTTCATGACTGATTCGGATCTTCCTATTTTGAAGGAAAATGAAAAAGAATGTCTGGGGCTAGGCCAGTGGTTCTCAGCCAGGGCGCCTGAACCCCTGGGCGACAGGGCAGCGCCTGGAGTCATTGTCCGTAGTCACCACCGGGAGGGAGAGATGGCCACTAGTGCCACCTAGTGGGTAGAGGCCAAGGGTGCTGTTAACATCCTGCGGTTCCCAGGACGCCTCCCCAGCTCTCCCACCAAGAATTACCAGGGCCAAAATAGCGCTGCTGTTCAGAAACCCTGGCCTACGTCAAGGAAAGAAAACCAGAGATCTGGCTTAGGTGTTGATATTTTAGACGTGTAGGGACAAAAGTAAGTGCTATAAAGAAAGAGACGCTAGTGTCTTCATACTGACTCAACACAAACCATTTCAGGGTTTTGGTGGCTATTTCCATCATACTTTCTGCCCACGTAGGGTATGGCTGTTTACAGAATCAGCAAACAGGCAGGCAGGTCAATGGCTTTTCCTTCCTTGCAAACGTCAATAACCTTTATTATTTAATATAGGAAGTCTGAGAGTTTCTAAAATGATGATCTTGAAATCTTTCCAGTTACCAACTTTTATTTACAGCCTTCAAAAATAAGCCCTGTCTTTCTGGTGTAGTTTTCTAATCGTCTGTTTTTCCCTGTTCTTCAAAAAAATTCTGTGAACACTTTATAGTTTAGTAAAGTTATCACTGTTCTTTTAATAAGTAACATATTAATTGGCGTTGACAGCAGCAGTTTTACAGTGAAGGGAGGTCCTTGTGAAATCTCATGATTTGGGGGGAAGGTAAGGACAAGCAAAAGCAGTAGAAGGCAGGACTGCTCTTCGAGCCTGCGTCACTAATCCTGGCAAGGGGCTCCTTTACCTCCTGACCTCTGACCTCTTGTTTTCTGACCCAGGTCTGTGTGTGTGTGCATTTAATATTTTGGCTGAGGGCTGCTCTTGCACAGAATGAGGTAAGAGGCTAGTAAGTCTGACAAGTACGTTAAGAAAATAAAATTAAAAAGTGCTCACAAAATATCAATAGAAGAATCAATCTTCCGTAGAAGCCAAGTTTCATTTAAAGCATCACGTTCTGTACGAGTGGATTCTGTCCCTCGAAAGTCTTACTATGGCAGCAGGAGGGGTCCTTACGTTAGATTGTCAGAACTACTGGGATGAAACACTATACATCTAGGTGGTAACTGTATCTGTGTCGTGACATTAGCATTTAGGTGAATGTAAGGACCTTGAGGCATTTGTAATCCAATAGGTAGAGTGATAACAAATGAGCCAGACGAAGAAAAGAATGTGTGTACCAACGTTGTGATTTTTAAGCAGTTCTTTCAATGCTTGTTAAAATTGTAATTGTTGGTGTTCATATTTTGACAGACTTTACACTTTAGAAGGAAAACCGGTTGAGAGTGGGGCAGAGTTGGAGAATGGGCAGTTTTATGTGGCTGTCGGCAGAGATCAGTTTAAGAAATTGCCTTACAGTGAATTACTTTTTGACAAGTCAGCAGTGAGGTCTTATGGGTAAGTTTTCATCCTTATTACACTTCTCATATTTTAGTTATCACTCAAAATAGAATTGAGCCTTATGCTGACCACTGGTTTATCTTACATAATCTTGTTTACCAGTTTGGGAAGCCCGTGTTATATGAATTGATCATTGTTAGTTTTTTTTTTTTTTGGAGATTGAAAGCTACTGCACAAAATCATAATTTTGGGGAATCCATGAAAGACTATATAATATTTTTTAACCATTCACTTAGAAAAAAATTTATAATTTTGGGGAATCTATGAAAGACTATATAATATTTTTTAACCATTCACTTACAAATAAAGATCTATACCAGATAATTTTTTCAGTTGGTATACCCAGAAACATCAACAGGTGTTTAACAAAAACATATTTTATACTCCTTTTAATAATAACAATACAATATAAAAACAGTATGATTCCACTTGTACAAATGAGTAGAGCAGCTGTGTTTACAGTTATGTGCAACATTTTAAATATTATACTTTTAATTGTAGACCATGCACTGTGAACCTTTTTTCTGTATGAAATGTCATAATATTTGTGAAAAACGCCTTATTTCAGCCAAGTAGATAGACTGCAGAGACGTGCATGGAGAGGTCCTGGCCTGGCAGATGCAGGGACGCCTCAGCTTCTCCTGGTGCCCAGGGCCCATCTCTGCTGCTTCTCACAGACATTCTGTGGCTGCTTGGACATTGGAAACAGACTTTTTTGGCTATCCTTTGCTAGGGTGGGTGATATGTGCAGAGACAGAGCAGAATTTCACCAGTTTGCTCTCCGTTAATTTGCAGTTTGTGAAGCTTGATGGAAAGGCTAGCTACTTGGTTCTAAATAAGTAATATATGAAATAGAACTTCAGAGGGGTGTTTGAAGCATGAGACAGCACCTGGTTTTCCAGAACTTTGGAATTATTTACCAGCAGACATATTGTTAAACATCCTTACTCATCCATGGAATCAAATTCTCCACCGTCTCTTGATAAGCAACATTGAATTATCTTGCTGTAAGCTATAGTGTGTACTTGATGGCAGTAAGAAAACTGTAACTCACAGTGGCCTTTCACAGACAGATCAGTAAGGTACCTTTGTCTATGTGTCTTCCTATTTTCAGAGAGGTCTAGTTGGGCTCTACGATAGGTCTTTTTCTAATAGTGTAGACATCTATGAAATAATGTTCTTATAACCAAAGATAATTTTTTATTTTTTAGTGAGAATACTAGTTCAGAAACTTCCTGAATACAAATGCCAGTGTTTTACCATTCTGAGCTTCTGAGGCAGACATCAAAGACATTGTAAAATCAGTGGAAATATATTGTTTTTACCTCAGTCTGTCAAAGTCATTATTCAGCTTGGGAAATGATCTTTTGAATTGCATATAGAAAATTTGGAGATAAGAATTAAAATGCTATGAAAAATTTAATATGGAAATAAATGCTTATTGTAAGCCTCTATTAAAATAGTATGCAGGAAAACACTAAAAATCTCTTCGAATGGAATTTGGAAATTTTATGGTGTTTTTGTGAAACTGGGGAAGTATATGGTACTACTTGTGAAACACTGATGCCAGTGAACAGTCAACTTCTAGGTGGGGATGACAATTTGGGATGCCAGTTGTCTTGCATTATATATTACTTGTAAATAACATTCAGATTTCCAAATTACAATTTGTTTCCACAGTCAGAAAGCTCCTTCACTACCTCCTGTGGTGGGACCCAGAAAGTCTAAAGGGAGTGTAAGTATCAGATGCTTTACTCATCCATGTTCTATATTTCTAAATGATACAGAGAGGCTGGCCTTTGGGTTTCAATTAAATTTGAAGAAATATAGCAGCTGCCCTGTGGCATATAAACACAACTATATGAAACAATGCTAAAACATTAATGTTACAATTAAAAACTTAGAACAGAGCTAGCATTTTTAAAATACAGGTTTCAAAATAGGTATCATGTGGCCCATCCAGTCTTATTTTCTATCTCTGAGAAAGACTGAAAGTTTTTATAAGAAAATGGTAATTCTTAGTTATATTCCTTTAAGAGATTGAGAATCAATCATTCAAAGTAGCTCCCTATCAGAATATTTCCCACCGTTCATTCATATCTTAATTCAGCAAATGTCTGTTAAAGTGCCTGGTATGTGGAAACCGTGACAACCACTTAGTAGGTAGTTTCTTAAACTTTTCATGCTCTCAGCCTGCGCCCCTGGGCGAGTCTCAGGTCAGCTGGGGAACTCCTATGACGGGCTTTTCTGCCTGAGGCTTCTCTTTCCTCTTTCGATTGAATTGCCTGACCAGTAGTGATCAGAATCGATCTGATATTTCTCTTGCTCTGAATTAACTGACCAAAACTCTTACGTTGGTATTTTGTAAAGTAAGTGGCTGCTGGGCAATGGTACGGTTTCCTGGTGATGATTTAGGCATTTCTTGTTATATCATGTGAAATTCTTGAGAAAAGGAAAAATGACTTTATGTGAGTAGGGCTGAACTCAGCATGCCCGACAGCGTTCATTAGCCCTCATGCAGGAAGACCCTTGCACCATTCATGACACGGCTGTGGCCCTCAGGAGATGCACAGGCTGATTCAAGTAGAGGTGGTGGCTTGGAAAGGGGCTGACAAGCTGAAGCTAAGCACCAAATGTGGTGTGAGTGGCAAACGTGAGAGAGGCAGAAGGCATCGTGTGTTGGCCAGGACACGTGGAGGAGGCTGTAGCTGTGCTGTGCTCTCGAGGACTGTTAAAACGCGGACAAGGGCCAGTGAGGAGAAAGCTGTCCCAGATAGAAGGGACGATGTGAAGAAGGAGCAGAGATGCACTCCCAGAAGCAGCAGTGTTGCCTGTGTTTAGTGAACACTCATGGGCTCAACGCTATGCCAATGTCTTTGCAGACTGATTTATTTAATTCTTACTTCAGGAAGCTGGTGCTGTTCTGCATTTAAAATTAAGAAAAGGAGGCAGCCAGAAGTAGCATGTCCAGAGGCTCCCACCGGGCAGATGGCAGGGAGGGATGGAGTCCAGATGGCCTGGAGGCAGAAAGACCTGTCAGGTACTCCTGACCCAGGAGACGGTGAATCCCCGAGGCCGACTGGGACAGAGTCCATCCCGGTGTGGAGGCTGATGTGCCTGAAATGGGAGGTAGTGGTGGTTTTAGATAATCTTGAATGTGGAATCAAGAGTCTGGTCTTTATCCTTGAGTAGAAGGCAGCTTTTGAAGGTTCCTGTGACACGCAGATGTTAATCCAGGGTCACTCCGGGAAGGTCAGATCCTCTGTGTGGAGGACTAGATGGGGCGGGGCCATAGATGAGGTGGCGGCCGTTGGGACCGCAAGCAGAGGCCTTGGCACAGAGCGGCCAGAGCCTGGCCTGGGGAGGTGGTGCAGGTAGCCGGAGGCGGCTGTTGCTCATGAAGAAAGGAAAGACTTGCTCGGTGACTAGATACACGGGGCTGCTGGAGAGGCTGGAGCCAAAGACAGTCGCATGTTTTTGAGCTTTGATGCCTGAGGAAATGGTAGTACTATGGCCGGGAAGAGGGCGGTCAGAGGAAATGATGACCTGCTTAATTTCAGACAAACTGAGTTGCAAGTGTCATCGCGAAATCTAGTTGAAAGTGTTGAGAAAGCAGTTAGCGGTGGAGACCCGGGCCTCGCGAGGACAGTGAGAGAATGGGTGAGTCGGGAGCCCGGATCGTGCAGTGAGGGCTGCAGAGGACCAGGTGGGAGGCACCCGGGCTTCCTGGACATGGAGAGGAAGGGGACAGGGAATATTCCAGGAGCTGAAAAACATCCTTAAGCTACTGTAGTGCTACACTAAGAAGCCACAAATTTAGGGTTTGGAAATTTTGTCCTCTTGTTTTTCTTCGGGACTTTGGAGCAGACTCTCTTGTGTGTATCAGGCAAATATGAGCTGGTTAGTTTTCACAGTGCAGCTGCAAGAGAGGTGGTTAAACAGAAACCCCGTAGGGCTGAATGACTGGCCTAGGCCACAGGGGGCAGGGAGGTCAGAGCCAGGATCCCGACTCGGCTCTGCATTCAGTTGCAAGTCAATGACTGAACTTTGGAATTATGTGCTCACTATCGAAATTTGGAATCTCCAAATTTTTAATTAAAAATGTGTGAAGTCTTTCGTGCTTTAAAACTTATGTGCAAGAGGGACATCTATGCAGTTTTCATTCTTGCTTACTTCTTGGAAGTTCAGAACCTGTGCTGTGAACATGCGTTTGCCTGATGGTGGCTGGCTGAGGTTTCTGTGTGTCTGGCATGGAGCTAAGACCCCGGGGACAGTGGTGAGCAGCCGGACAGGGCCGTCTCTCTTGGCTCATGGTCTGCTAGGGGAGAAAAAGGTGAAACAAACAATTCCAGAAGTCAGCACGTAATTAAAGTGTCATGAAAAGGAAAGGAGAGTGTGGAGCCCTGTGAGAGGATGAAAGGAGAACTCATTTAGAGAGGATAGTGTCAGGAGAGGCCTCTGAGCAAGTGGACTTAAAGAAAGACTCAGCTTATGATATGTTTCCATCTCATAGAAAACAGAGACTCAAAATTTTATTTTCATGCTATGCTGCACAAAAACAAAGTGATAGAAGAGTTTGTTCTCCTTTTTATAATGCAGCTGAAACATTCTCCATATTTATCCATCTATTCATTTGTCATCCAGATATCCACCCAACATGTATTTATTGAGCACTTACAAAATGCCAGGAACTCTAAGCAACTGGCACATGGTGGTGACCAGACAGACAAGGTTTGGGCCTCACAGAACGTCCATCCCACTGCCTGTCTGTGTCAGGGGCGTGGGGAGCAGAAGAATGGAGGTAGACAGACCATTAACTTCTCAACAAATGCATAAATAATTTCAGATGGTGATGAGTTCTATGAGGAAAATGATACATGTCAGGGCACTGAGTGATATAAAATTGTCTGAGACTGAGACCTTATTGGGTAAAGGAGCCAGTCATACAAGGCTGGGGCGGGGGAGAAGAGAAGCCCACGGCAGAGGGAGGGGACATGGAGGCCCTCGGCGAAGAGCCCGGTGTGTGCGCAGAGCAGGAGGCCAGAGTGACTTCAAATTTCAGAGGCCGGCGGGGCTCGATCACGTGGGCCATGCAAGGAGTTTGGATTTGAGGGTCGGGAAGAGGAAGTGATATCATTTGATTTACTTTTTAAAAAGTTTCTGGCTGTGGTATCTACAGAAAAGTGGGTCAGGGCAAGAATGGAGGCAGGAGACGATGGGGTGGCTGGAGTCCAGGTGTGCGGTGCGGCTGCCTGAGCAGGTGGCAGCAGGGAACCAGGCATCTGTGAATCCTCGAGGAATCATGACCGTCTGCTGCCACTGATCGATGGGTTCACCCAGCAACCATTTATTGAGCTCATATTATGTCCTGGGCAGTGTTTTAGTGCTGGGGGAAGGGAGAGGCAGAGAGTCCAGAGAAAACATAACATGCATGGAGCTTACATTCAAGAGGAGGAGAAAGACAAATTCACAGTTCATTGATTTTAATCAGGGATAAGCTTGAAGGAAAATACATGAAGATGCGGGAAGGCAAAGTGAGGGAGGACGTGTTTTGTCTGGTGGTCAGACCTCTCCAGGAGGTCACATCTGAGCAGAGGTGGCCAACCCCCTTGGCACGCAGTGGGTCTCACTGAACTTGTTTAGTGGGTGTGTGAATGGCTGGCAGTGAGCTGCTCAGACAGAGCATCTTCTGTTGGTGATTCCAAAGTCACAAACATGATTTTTAGTAGGACGATTAATTGACTCCTTTCCATTAATGAATTGGTTCCCTGGAGAATGTATATGTTTCTAAGATCATTAACTGCCTGGTGCTGAGTCGGGGTGTGAGGAGAGAGGACTGTGGACACAGAACTGGACTTTTGGGGAATTCATTTCCCACACAGCTTTCTAGGAATTGTTCTATCATATTGGAAGGGGAGTGTGGGCGGGTGCCTGATAGAACTTAGAAAAGCGAGAGAGGGCTGCCTTATAGCACAGGACTCCCCGTGGGTGCCTGAGTGACTCAGCAGGCCCCACCAGGGTGGGGGGGAGTATGGGAATGAGGGATTCTGGGGTCAAGCAGATCCTTTCAAAGTGGAGGGAATAGTTTGTGCAAAGCAGGGCCAGACCAGAGCCATCCGTCCTACAGGCCTCAGTGCTGGGAGCGTCACAGTCAGGGAGAATCGACGGCGACTACCAGTCGTGGTTCTAGCCTTGGAAACAGCAAGGAGCAAGGGAACTGCCTTGAGTTCCATTGCGTCAGAGAAACAGACGCACCAGGGGAGGCTGAGTTGCTGCTGCAAAGCCGCCCCTCGCAGAATCAGAGATCCCCTAGTGCAAGATATGTAAAAGCAGAGAAATATTTGACGTTTCAAGTCAAAGACTAGAATAAATGGTCTTTTGTTGTTCTTATTACCATGCCGCCAATGTATCTTACAATCTGGCATTGACAGATTCAGTGATTATAATGTTTTAGTAAAAAGTCACAGAATTATCCATGTGTCGCAAAGTCACTCTGTAATAGGACAAATCCCAAATACTCCCTGGAAGTCCTTGGCCTCTTAGAAAACTGAGTTCAGGATGGGTAAAAGGGCCCATTACTTCCCATCACCAGATGCCCGAGTGAGAAATGCCAGCCTGCGTCCGGGACCCCTCTGCTCAAAGGCCTCCGGGTGCACTGGTGAAGTTCACACAGCGAAGGTGCCTGTGAGGTGGTCCGCTCGCAGAATCACCTTGAACCTGATGCCCTGTGGCCTGTGTGTCTTGGGCACACGCCCCTCAGGGCTGCGGGTGGGTTGCTGTGGTAATAAACAAAGCCTGAGTAGATTGGGTCTTGGTGGAAAGAGCTAGGGAGCTATTAAAAAATCCTGATCTCAGTCCGGTGAGGGGCAGCTGGAGTGGAGGCAAGGTGACCGGACTGACTTCTAGTCCCTTGTTCCTCAGAGCGGGAGGTCGCTTTTCTTGCCGGAGGTGCTGGTATGTGTGTGGAGCAAAAGGCAGGACAGGGGTTGACTGACCACAGTGTGTGTGGTCTGGTTTCTGCATGGGACACAGTGGGGAAACTAGGCTGCTTCTTGACTCCTTCCATTTGGGGATAAAGCCATAATTTGTCATTTCTGGATGGCTTTTTCAGGGAACCATATAATAACTGCTTCTTGGTATCAGGAAGCTCCATTGGGGTAGACAAATCAGACCTGGTTAACCTAGAGGAAGTTTATTCCCTTACTGTAAAGTGTTGATGATAATAACTATAAATTTGGTAAACATTTGTGTTAATACGTATTTAGTACACAAGAGGTCCTCAAAAATGTTATCAACCTGCACAGCTGTGTGAGGTGGCAGAACCCCCTGACTCCCTCTGCTCCACAAACAGCAGCAGTGACTGTGTGTCCGAGTTATGTCACATGGGGAAGTCTCAAAAAAGAAAGGAAAATCCCCTTCTTCATTACTCTGTCCTTTCCTCTCTCTCTCTCTCTCCATATATAATTTATTTATATATTACCTGTAATTTATATAATTATGTAAATGAATGAGTATCTATAATTTATATTTATTTACTTGTATATACTCATTATTTTTTTATGTATTAACACTTTAGATGAATCATTATTTTTTCTTTTTTAAAAAGACAAGCATTTAAATTATTTCCAGTTTTCTAATTACAAAACAATTCTTCCATTTCTCTCAGTTTGATTTAGTTCTTACCAAGTGCCTGTGATTGATTACCAAGTGCAAGTCATTAATCAATAATAGAATGCATGAGTATCAATTACCAAAGCCAAGTCTTAAATAGTTGCTAGAATCAACTAGTCTTTCTTGATGTTCCCCAATTGCCCTCTTGAGTGTCCCTATCAGAAAGGTAGTAAACCAGAATTTCCAGTGTATTCAAGAGGAGAACTAATTTTTTAAGGGTCATAAATCCCCAAGCACTCCAGGATGGGGCTCTTGTTTCTTCCTTTTGTGATAAGACTTTTCCTAAGAAGCTGTAAAAAAAATCTTCTTGCCAAGATCCAGGGTTCCTCATTCAAGTTTCTAGTCCTCAAAAGTTCAACAACAACTCTGAACATTCTAGTAGGTTTGCTAGAAGCATTACTCCTCTTATCCAAGGCTTTTGGAGTTTTAACATCTAGAGGTAAATAGACTCAGTTGAAAACAGACTGGATTCGGAGATCCCGGCTGATGGTTTTGGAACCTCCATTGTAATCAGATTGTCTATTTCTTCTGCCAAGTATTTTATGGCCTTGCAAGGGAGAATCACTGAAGAAGAGGAAATTAAAAAACAAGTCTGGTTTCAGTTAATACAGTAATTAAATGGAAACTATGTTTGAATTGCAGTTGGAATAGGAAATTAAATTATACAAAAAGTGTTACAGATTTGGACAAGTTTTCATTCTGTAAAATCTATGCATAACTCATTTTCTTGTAGACTATGACAGAATGTCATAAATAACTTCATTTGTAAGGCTGTGAATTTTTCTATTCTTAATTGGGTGAGGCTAAAACTATTTAAGTGCTTCTGGATGACTGAATATATAAATGTTTAAAATGAGCAGTAGGCAGATTTGTTTATTTAATATTACTACATTTATTTTCAGATTCTAGCCTAGTACAGATATTGCATGAAAATTTTACCCAATGTGTTATGAGTTGACATGATTTTAAAGAAAAATATATTAACTCTCTGCTCTTGGAGAAAGCACTCTGACCCTCGCTGAGCAAGCACTACACACCAGGCATGACACTAGTTGCTTCGTAAACGTTACCATTTCATCCTCATTGGAGACCTAGAGGCAGGTACATAAACCTCCTTCAACAGATGGGGAGACAGGCTCCAAGAAGAAGAGAGTTAGTCAGCTCAAGGTCCATAGGTGCTGGGCGGCGGAGCAGAGGCTCTGAGCCGTGTACTCTGGGTCTCTAAAACGTGGGTTCTTTCTGCTCCTCCCTTGTACTCTCAGGTAAGTCTCGTACCTGAGCATCTGACTGCTGAGGCTGTGTTGCTAGCAGGGAGTTTCTAGCTGTAGCAATGGCCAAGGAACAGCTGCTCCTTGGGTCCTTGGGGCAGCCAGATACCACATAGTGGCTGTTACATGGGCCAGTGATGGGAGCCACCGAAACTCAAACTCGTCCTCGCCTGAGGAGCCCACTTGCAGATTCAAGGTCTTCATTTCGAGAGGCACGTGGGGACCAGAGGCAAGGCCAGAGGTGTGACCGTTGGTGGCTGCTGTGCAGGGGCCGGGGCATGCGGTCTGGATGTCGTGTTGCATTTGGGATCCACAGACACCATGGCAGCCACCTCAGAGCCCCTGCGGGGCCTCTCCATGGCACAGTGTTTGTTCCTGCTGTGAGGTTCTTACTTGTTCACAGGGACAGCTGGTCAGGAAGGTGTTTTTCTAGATTAACTGGTCAAACTGAGGGCCATCAGTGTTCCTCACCCAGTAGGTGGCTGCTGATTCCTCAGAAACGAACAGTAGGGCTGGTGGTTAAGGCCGCAGACTGGCTCCTTGCTGTCTGTGCGACCTTGGGTGAGGTTTGACCTCACGGCCTCATTTCCTCCTCTACGCAGCGCCTTCCTCACAAGGCTGTGAGGGCTGAGTGGGGTTAGGAGAGTCCCTGCACACAGTAAGGACTTGGCGGTTGGTGGCTGTCATTTTCTTCTCTGTCCTCTGCCGCCGGCATCGGCACAGGCCTCCGTCCCGCCCCTGCCCCGCTCACCACCAGCTGGTAACTCGTGCTGCCTGGGGACCACTTTGGGAGCTGAGCAGCCAGGAGTAAGGGTCTGATCTTCTGCCATGTAGGGAAACGATCGTCAGTCTAAATCTACAGTTGGATCCAGTGACAACCCATCTCCTCAGCCCCGAAAGAGGAAAGAGAAAAAAGATGTGAATTCGGGAAAACTCGCAAAAGGGAAACAAAATGTAAAGTCAAAGAGTTCACCACAGGCGGTCCCAGACGGCGGTAAGTCTGTCATCACTGTTCCTGTTTCTGTTATTATCTTACATCTGTGATGCAATTTTAAGTCTTAAATAGATCTATTTGTTTCCCTTATTCTCACACATGAGAGATCTCAAAGAAGATGTTCTGTGTGGGAGATGCTGCTGTTTTTCATGCTTAGTTTCTATTTGTGACTACAGGTCGTGCTACAAGGAGGAAATGCTTCTTGTGGTGATCTTATCAGAAAAGGCAAATTTTACCACCTTGTGCTCATACTGAAAGTGCTTAACAATCTTGCCCACCGCTGTTGACAACAGCTCCGTGACTGGTGTGTTCACAGCCCCATCCACATTCATTAAGAATTAGTTTTAGTCATGATCACTTTCCCCGAAAAGATATTTTACTAATTTTACTGATATCCAAGAGAATACTAAACACACACAAAACCTTACCAATAAGTGGTATGTACCAAAATTAGTTTGTACCTTGCATTATAGGTGAGGGATGATATAAAATACTTCTTAAAAATTTGCATTAGTGTGAGATTTCAGAATAAAAGGGTGATGGACTAAGGACACACGCCCTCAGAATTGTGAATTTCCTTGTTAGTTTTTGTGGAGAAAGGCTCTTTTCAGTTTCATTCCAAGTGTGTTGTCAGTGGGACAGGACGTTGACGAGAAAGCAGTGCTGTGCAGAGTGGAGGGCCGGCTGGGGCGCGGCCCGTGCAGTGACTGCTTCTCCTTTGCCTGGATCGCCTCGTTCACCCGCAGTCAGTGGGGAACATGCTGGGGCGCTTGGGAGGAGGATGGATGGGATTAGGTTAAAGATTCGGGGCCGGAGCTGCGTCCTCTGCCTGGGAGCCCCAGCCCACTTCACGGTGGATGTGAGGAGTCCGTTCGAATCACAGTCAGTGTGGGCCTCACAGCTGGTGCAGCAGGAGCTCGCTGCTAGGGCTTAGAGGATGCTGCACAGATGACTAAAAAATCAAAAGATGGGGGAGACTAAGTGAAAAAATAGAGAAGAAAGAGTGGAGGGGAATTTAACTATATGAAGATGTAAATGATGGCAATTAGTTGGAGGGTGATTGTCCTAGATTCTTGTTGCAGCTCTGCTACTGACCTTGGGAAAGTCACTTAACTTTTTGGAGCACCGTTAGCTATCTGCAAAATGTGGGCTCATACTAAGATTTATCATGGAAAGTTTTGCTTATCTTTAAGTTTATGCAGTCCTTTTCAGCGACCGTGATACAGGGAGGTCAGGGTAAAATGTAGTCAACAAGTATCTATTGGATACTCATTGAATGGCAGCCACCAGAGGAAAACAATGTAGCCTGAAAGAACACGCTGCACCTTGAGCATCAAAAATAATAGAGACTTTGTCTTAATCAATATATATACTAGATTGTAATGTCCCCAAAGCCAGGGACTATGTCTTAATAGTTTTTTTCTTAACCCCAACACCTGGCACAGGTCTGATAGATAAGATACTCTTAATAAATATTGTTGAGTGAATGATGGAAGTCACAAAATAGGCAAGTCTCTGTAATACTTTAAAACCCACTAAGAAACAGGACCCATTTTAACTTTTCACTAATTATCTTTGTTTAAAGGCTTTTATAAAATGTTACTTGGTTCTTTTCTATAAAGCTCTTACTAGCTTGCAGAAATCCTAACCCCTACTTCCAGTATATTTTTTAAAAGTCTTTAGATTTTTATAGTTGTCCCTCAGAAAAAAGGGAACCATATTTCCAGGTTATCTCATTTGTAGAAACTTGGGCACATAGGAGGTTGCAGCAGCATTTCCCTCTTCCACAGGAAAGTGACCTTCATTAAAACTCAATTACCAGTATTTTTGCTTTTGTAAAATTCACAGATAGTTTCCAACAACTGTGTCTGTGTGGATGAAAATAACAAAAACATGTTAACCGTTGAAGCAGGTCCTGTTCTACAAGTGCTGTCCTCCCCTTGTCTTCAGAGAATCCTGCGGTTGTTTTACATAATTGCCCCTCTTAAGTGTATAGTTTCCAATGCAGTTTTACAATGTGCAGTTTATGGGGTTATAACTGCTGGATGTCATCGTTCCATGGAACAAGTACTGGTGTCTTTCAAATGGAGGTTTGGGGAAGCAAAATTTTTTCCCAGTAAGAGTCTTACCCCACTCATCTAGTAAGAGGTCAGATGAAGCATTTTGTGTCTTTTCATCTTGATAAAAAGAACATATTACCTGGGAAGTGAACCTTAGCTCCAAAAGCAATTTCATTTCCAGGGGTAAAAAAAAAAANTAAGCTATAGTGTGTACTTGATGGCAGTAAGAAAACTGTAACTCACAGTGGCCTTTCACAGACAGATCAGTAAGGTACCTTTGTCTATGTGTCTTCCTATTTTCAGAGAGGTCTAGTTGGGCTCTACGATAGGTCTTTTTCTAATAGTGTAGACATCTATGAAATAATGTTCTTATAACCAAAGATAATTTTTTATTTTTTAGTGAGAATACTAGTTCAGAAACTTCCTGAATACAAATGCCAGTGTTTTACCATTCTGAGCTTCTGAGGCAGACATCAAAGACATTGTAAAATCAGTGGAAATATATTGTTTTTACCTCAGTCTGTCAAAGTCATTATTCAGCTTGGGAAATGATCTTTTGAATTGCATATAGAAAATTTGGAGATAAGAATTAAAATGCTATGAAAAATTTAATATGGAAATAAATGCTTATTGTAAGCCTCTATTAAAATAGTATGCAGGAAAACACTAAAAATCTCTTCGAATGGAATTTGGAAATTTTATGGTGTTTTTGTGAAACTGGGGAAGTATATGGTACTACTTGTGAAACACTGATGCCAGTGAACAGTCAACTTCTAGGTGGGGATGACAATTTGGGATGCCAGTTGTCTTGCATTATATATTACTTGTAAATAACATTCAGATTTCCAAATTACAATTTGTTTCCACAGTCAGAAAGCTCCTTCACTACCTCCTGTGGTGGGACCCAGAAAGTCTAAAGGGAGTGTAAGTATCAGATGCTTTACTCATCCATGTTCTATATTTCTAAATGATACAGAGAGGCTGGCCTTTGGGTTTCAATTAAATTTGAAGAAATATAGCAGCTGCCCTGTGGCATATAAACACAACTATATGAAACAATGCTAAAACATTAATGTTACAATTAAAAACTTAGAACAGAGCTAGCATTTTTAAAATACAGGTTTCAAAATAGGTATCATGTGGCCCATCCAGTCTTATTTTCTATCTCTGAGAAAGACTGAAAGTTTTTATAAGAAAATGGTAATTCTTAGTTATATTCCTTTAAGAGATTGAGAATCAATCATTCAAAGTAGCTCCCTATCAGAATATTTCCCACCGTTCATTCATATCTTAATTCAGCAAATGTCTGTTAAAGTGCCTGGTATGTGGAAACCGTGACAACCACTTAGTAGGTAGTTTCTTAAACTTTTCATGCTCTCAGCCTGCGCCCCTGGGCGAGTCTCAGGTCAGCTGGGGAACTCCTATGACGGGCTTTTCTGCCTGAGGCTTCTCTTTCCTCTTTCGATTGAATTGCCTGACCAGTAGTGATCAGAATCGATCTGATATTTCTCTTGCTCTGAATTAACTGACCAAAACTCTTACGTTGGTATTTTGTAAAGTAAGTGGCTGCTGGGCAATGGTACGGTTTCCTGGTGATGATTTAGGCATTTCTTGTTATATCATGTGAAATTCTTGAGAAAAGGAAAAATGACTTTATGTGAGTAGGGCTGAACTCAGCATGCCCGACAGCGTTCATTAGCCCTCATGCAGGAAGACCCTTGCACCATTCATGACACGGCTGTGGCCCTCAGGAGATGCACAGGCTGATTCAAGTAGAGGTGGTGGCTTGGAAAGGGGCTGACAAGCTGAAGCTAAGCACCAAATGTGGTGTGAGTGGCAAACGTGAGAGAGGCAGAAGGCATCGTGTGTTGGCCAGGACACGTGGAGGAGGCTGTAGCTGTGCTGTGCTCTCGAGGACTGTTAAAACGCGGACAAGGGCCAGTGAGGAGAAAGCTGTCCCAGATAGAAGGGACGATGTGAAGAAGGAGCAGAGATGCACTCCCAGAAGCAGCAGTGTTGCCTGTGTTTAGTGAACACTCATGGGCTCAACGCTATGCCAATGTCTTTGCAGACTGATTTATTTAATTCTTACTTCAGGAAGCTGGTGCTGTTCTGCATTTAAAATTAAGAAAAGGAGGCAGCCAGAAGTAGCATGTCCAGAGGCTCCCACCGGGCAGATGGCAGGGAGGGATGGAGTCCAGATGGCCTGGAGGCAGAAAGACCTGTCAGGTACTCCTGACCCAGGAGACGGTGAATCCCCGAGGCCGACTGGGACAGAGTCCATCCCGGTGTGGAGGCTGATGTGCCTGAAATGGGAGGTAGTGGTGGTTTTAGATAATCTTGAATGTGGAATCAAGAGTCTGGTCTTTATCCTTGAGTAGAAGGCAGCTTTTGAAGGTTCCTGTGACACGCAGATGTTAATCCAGGGTCACTCCGGGAAGGTCAGATCCTCTGTGTGGAGGACTAGATGGGGCGGGGCCATAGATGAGGTGGCGGCCGTTGGGACCGCAAGCAGAGGCCTTGGCACAGAGCGGCCAGAGCCTGGCCTGGGGAGGTGGTGCAGGTAGCCGGAGGCGGCTGTTGCTCATGAAGAAAGGAAAGACTTGCTCGGTGACTAGATACACGGGGCTGCTGGAGAGGCTGGAGCCAAAGACAGTCGCATGTTTTTGAGCTTTGATGCCTGAGGAAATGGTAGTACTATGGCCGGGAAGAGGGCGGTCAGAGGAAATGATGACCTGCTTAATTTCAGACAAACTGAGTTGCAAGTGTCATCGCGAAATCTAGTTGAAAGTGTTGAGAAAGCAGTTAGCGGTGGAGACCCGGGCCTCGCGAGGACAGTGAGAGAATGGGTGAGTCGGGAGCCCGGATCGTGCAGTGAGGGCTGCAGAGGACCAGGTGGGAGGCACCCGGGCTTCCTGGACATGGAGAGGAAGGGGACAGGGAATATTCCAGGAGCTGAAAAACATCCTTAAGCTACTGTAGTGCTACACTAAGAAGCCACAAATTTAGGGTTTGGAAATTTTGTCCTCTTGTTTTTCTTCGGGACTTTGGAGCAGACTCTCTTGTGTGTATCAGGCAAATATGAGCTGGTTAGTTTTCACAGTGCAGCTGCAAGAGAGGTGGTTAAACAGAAACCCCGTAGGGCTGAATGACTGGCCTAGGCCACAGGGGGCAGGGAGGTCAGAGCCAGGATCCCGACTCGGCTCTGCATTCAGTTGCAAGTCAATGACTGAACTTTGGAATTATGTGCTCACTATCGAAATTTGGAATCTCCAAATTTTTAATTAAAAATGTGTGAAGTCTTTCGTGCTTTAAAACTTATGTGCAAGAGGGACATCTATGCAGTTTTCATTCTTGCTTACTTCTTGGAAGTTCAGAACCTGTGCTGTGAACATGCGTTTGCCTGATGGTGGCTGGCTGAGGTTTCTGTGTGTCTGGCATGGAGCTAAGACCCCGGGGACAGTGGTGAGCAGCCGGACAGGGCCGTCTCTCTTGGCTCATGGTCTGCTAGGGGAGAAAAAGGTGAAACAAACAATTCCAGAAGTCAGCACGTAATTAAAGTGTCATGAAAAGGAAAGGAGAGTGTGGAGCCCTGTGAGAGGATGAAAGGAGAACTCATTTAGAGAGGATAGTGTCAGGAGAGGCCTCTGAGCAAGTGGACTTAAAGAAAGACTCAGCTTATGATATGTTTCCATCTCATAGAAAACAGAGACTCAAAATTTTATTTTCATGCTATGCTGCACAAAAACAAAGTGATAGAAGAGTTTGTTCTCCTTTTTATAATGCAGCTGAAACATTCTCCATATTTATCCATCTATTCATTTGTCATCCAGATATCCACCCAACATGTATTTATTGAGCACTTACAAAATGC